GATGCTCCCCCCCAGCTCTAACCACTAGGCTGCAGGGGCTGCACCCCAGGATGCTGCCAGTGGGACCCTTCTCCAGCAGGTGCGATGGGAACGGGGAGCGTCGCAGGCCGCACGGCCTGAGACCCTGTGGGGCTGCCGGGGGTGGGACATGGGACCCCCGCAGTCACCCCCAGCAAAGCCCAGGCCCCAGTGCAGGGAGGGAGGGATGCATGGGGGATGGTGGGGTTGGACAGGTGGGACGAGGGGCAGGACAGCGGGATGGATGGGGGTGGGGGAGGCGGGGGCGCCTGCTCCAGGCCAAGGCCCCTGGGCTGGTTCCTCGCCCTGCCCCAGCTCTGCTCAGCACGGGGGTGGGGGGTTGCTGAAGTCCTGGGGACCCCCGGGTGCAGCTGAACACTCGGTGGGGGGGACAAGACGGGCACTGCTGAGGGGTCCGGTCCCAGGTGCCAGGCACTTGCACACACCCCTTGTTCTGCAGGGGGAAGTGCACGTGTGTGTGTGTGTGTACCCCGGACACCTGGGTTCTGTGTGCCCTCCCCCCCACACACACAGTACCCTCAGGCATGGGCTGCAAACACTGCCTTCAGTTGGAGCTAATTGGGGCAGGGCAATTAGCAGGGGCAATTAGCAGCTGCATCCTTCCACCTGCCCCAGTGCCCTGGAGCAGATAAATAGAGCAGGGGGTGTGTGCGTTCCCCTCCTGCCCCCACCCCAGCTGTTGGGACATGCTCTGTGTGAGTTTGCGTGCGAGACCCAGATGCCTGGGGTGCGTATGTGTGTGAACGTGCATGCACGCATGAGTCCCGGATGCTTGCGGGGGGTGGGCGGTGTCCTAGATGTCTGGGTTCTCTGGGTGTGTGTGTGCGCGCACATGTGTGTCAGATGCCTGAGTTGTGCGGCTGTGGGGGGGTGTCTGGGTGTGCCCCGGACCCCTGGGTTTTGTGGCCGTGGGTGTCTCCAGGACCCCTGGTTCCCTGGGACCGTGTTGCGGGGCGGGGGTTGCACCTTGCAGCTGAGTCTGGGGCAGCCCTGGGGGACTAGGCTGGGGCTGAGCTGGGGGGGTGGGGCTCCCCCAACCTGAGCCCCCCATCTCTTCCCAGCCTGTCCCTGCCCAGAGCAGCTACAACGTCCGGCTGGGTGAGCGGGGGTGGGGGGTGGACACCCGGGTCCCAGCTCTAGGAAGGGAGCGGGGCTCAGTGGTTATCATGGGGGCAGGGGGCGGGCAGGACGCCCTTGTCCCACGGCTCCAGGAGGGGAGTGGGGCCTCGTGGCTACAGCAGGACGAGCCCTGGGTTCCCTTTCCTGCTCGCCGCCCTCCTCTCCCAGGAGCCTAGTGCCGCCTCGGACACCCTGGACCTGCCTCGGTGAGTGGGGGGCGCTCCTGGATGGACCCCTGGGGATGGGGGGGATGTCTGGCCCTGCCCCCTTCTGGCAGCTCCTACGGCTCCAGGAGGGGAGTGGGGCCTCGTGGCTACAGCAGGACGAGCCCTGGGTTCCCTTTCCTGCTCGCCGCCCTCCTCTCCCAGGAGCCTAGTGCCGCCTCGGACACCCTGGACCTGCCTCGGTGAGTGGGGGGCGCTCCTGGATGGACCCCTGGGGATGGGGGGGATGTCTGGCCCTGCCCCCTTCTGGCAGCTCCTCCTTCTGCTGTGGCTCCGCCCTCTGGGAGCATGGTTGCAGGCTGCCTGCAGACTCAGGCATACCCCGGGGGGGCGGGGCTGCACTAGCGCCCCCCGGTGGCTGCCCCCCCACAGGTTCCCAGTGGAGGCCCGTGGAGGC